CGCGATGGGGCATGAAGTCGGGTGGCGGGCAACTGCTGGCGGTTTCTGCTGAGTCACATCGTACCAACAACCTTGGAGGCCAAGGGGCGGGGGGCTGCCTAAGCAGCCAACAAACAGAGTGTAGCTTTGGGGCCGCAAACCTGAGTATATTGTTGCGACAGGGCCCAGGGTATTCCTAGGTTGGGGAGGGGGCACGAGGCAAAGCGAGCGGGTCAGCGGTGACCGGGCGACCGGGCGCCTCGCGGTGCACGGCGCTGAGCGAAGCGGCACGGCGCAGCTTGCTTGGCGCCTAGCCAGAGGCCAAGGAGGCAGCAAAGGAGGCCATATGTCCTTAACTTGCTGTAAGGTGGCACCCCAGGCCCAAAATCGGGCGATACAAACTTGCCTCAGTCAGACCCCAAGGGCACTGGGAGAGTGTATTGCAAATACCAGCTCTTGTTGCAAATCATGTATGTGAGCCGTGATTTACAGACACAAACAACGACTTGAGTATCAAGCAGGAAGCTTGAAATTATGCTATGATGTGCCGCGCGCTTGCGTGTCGCATCACTGTCATGGTTGTGTCGTTCCTGTGCCTTGTCAGCAGTCCCGAGCCGAGGGCTGGCATGTACTGGCGACGGTACTTAGGAGCGGTCGATGGATTTTGCTGGAGACAACATTAAAGTTTGTGTGCAACAAGGCAGCTGTGGCGGCCCACAGCTCAACTGCCCCTCAGTTGGCTCAGGCTGCCTGGCTCAGTGGCTCTCAGACCCAGATGAGCCCATGATCTCACCGTGGTGCAGTACGGTAGTGTGCAAGGTCTGGTGCATGGCAATCGCGGGTCCATTACGAAGTACCAAAAGCACCAGCATGTCAGAGAAACTGCATACAGAAGCGATCGAATGGCACATGAACGCTTTTGCAACGGGTCGCTCTCACACCAGATCAGCGCGCGGCTGAACAGCCGGCAGAGTATCATTCTACTTGTGACGTAACACACAAAACTCGACATATCTGTGTGAGTTCCTGACGACGATACTGTAATCCACTTGTTCAGTACCATGCCATACCGGTACGTCTGATTGCGTGCATTGCTGCAATCTGCATCCCATGGAGTTTGTGAACTTGGTGGAGGATGCACGCACTCGTACACCGTGGCACTCTATGTATGCGAGCCAGGCTGTATTAGGCATGCCGATTGCTTGCTTTGACAGGCTCGAGGGGTTTTGGTTACTAGAACCGTTTTGTGAGCAAAGTTAGGAGCCGTCTGTCGCAGCAGTGAAGCAAAACCACTGCAAGTGTGAGCACCAACCAGTCTCAAAAAGGCAAGAAACGCAAGCAGCCACGCCCAAGACAAATTACTGGCCCTTCATCCCGCAGAGATTTTATACGGATTGATGCTGCAGGCTCAGCAACGGCAGGGTGGAGACGGCAAGCCACCAAGTTGTGCCAATTAACAGTGTGTGTTTGCATGCATGTCCTATAGGTGTACTGGGGATCAAATTATGGGGTCCCGTAATTCCCAGCAGGCTACAAGGTTCTTGGCGTCAACAGCGGAGGAAATGACAGCATCTCACAAGCCATGCGCAACCCAGTGTGTGTTGCTGGGCGGGGGTTCTCATCAGAAAGTGCAATGTCGGATGTGGAACACAGGGTGCTTGGGAACACTTGTGGTGACACAGAATGATGTGCCAGAGCGCTCCCCAACAGTTTTGTTGTTGATGACAGCAACGCAGTGGCGCAGGCAACAACCCTGTTTGCAGCAAGATCAGGCAACAAGCTCTTGTGATTGCTTTTGAGCAATGCTACGTAGCGATTGTACTGGCAGTACATTTGGCAGATAAGATTCTATACCTCCTCCCTGTTCTAATTGTAACCACATGTCACATCTAATTTTGCTTACAGGGTAGCATCCAACCGTACGGCAGACGTCAAGTTGAGACTTTCAACATTCTACACGCGT